TACGTGGCAAAATAATGCTATCGTGTCTCTGAGCGCCACGGAGTCCTCTGCGAACGCCTCAGTTTTCAGACGATCTCCGGACTGCAGAAGCAGACCTGGGATTTGGGGATTTGCACGAATCATTGAGTGCATGATTTCCACATACAGGAGATAAAGGTAGGGGGCCACCGGGCACCCTTGCCTCACCGATCTATTCAGTGCAATAGGGGCCGAAAGTTTGTCATTTACCGATAATTTGGACTCTGAGCCAATGTGCAACGCGTGGATTACATTTCTAAATCTCTGCCCAAAGCCATATGTTGTAAGGGTTGCCTGAAGAAATTCCCAGCCAACCCTGTCATAGGCCTTCTCCAGGTCAATCAGCAGCACCGCAATTTGGTCATGTCCCTGTCTCACTATCTCTATTATCTGTTCCACCGTCATCACATTAAAAAGTATTTGACGGTCTTTAAGGAAAGCAGTTTGAGTTAAATGAATCAATACCGGCAAAACAGTTTGCAGTATGAGCGCAAGAATTTTAGAGACCAGTTCATACAGCACTGGCATAAGAGTGATCGGGCGCCAATTTAGTATGTCCGCCCGATCCCCTTTTTTGTAAATAAATGTTATTATTCCTGCAAGCATATCAATTGGGGGCGAAGCCCCCAAAAAGATAGCTTGCACTGAAGTTGTTAATGCAGGTAGTAGTCGTAGTGAATTTTGTCKGAAAAATAGGAGCGGGAGCCCATCTTGACCCGGCACCTTGTGCAGCGGCAACGAGGTAAGAGCCATCCTGATCTCCTCCATCGTGGGTGGCTCTTCCAGTCGCTGCACATCTGTCTGAGTCAAGGATGTTCCCACCGTTGACCAGACGGAGTCGTGAAACTCCGTCAGCAGTTGYTGYTCTGTGTGTTGAGCCTGAGATGCMAACARCTGCTCGTAAAACAAGGCAACATTTTGAATGATGTCTGTTGTTGTTATTGCTGGTTGGCGGGTGTCGTCCCAAGGGTGTTTCATTGTGAGCATCGGCGAAGATGCCATTTGAAGACGATGTCCCTTGAAAAAAGCCGCGTTCATCTTGTCACCTTTGGCCAACCAGGAAACCTTGTTACGGTGTGCAGCCTCCCTCAGCGCCGGCAGTCCCACCAAAACTGTGCGCTGACGGAGTTCGTCCATTGCTCGCATAAGATCCAGCTCATTGGCCGGTTGTTGGCAGGCCCTGGCAATTATATCGGCCATTTCATGGTTGAGAGCCGCGATGTGAGAGCTCCGTGTAGCTCTCAGTAATTTTTGGATGAGCTTCCCCCGACGCAGCACCGTTATGAGTCCACCTATTAACCATTCCACCGGGTCTTGAAAGAGGTATCTGGCCGAGGCCCATTTTGACCAGAACTCCATCAAGAAGTCGGCAAAGTCTGGTGACAGTACAACCCATTCAGGTAGGGAGAGGCGATCATGTGCCATTCTTATTGTCGGTTTCTGATATATCTCCACAAGCAGCGGCAGATGATCAGAGCCGACCTGAGGCAAGACTGCACATCTGTTCAGACGTGCAAGGAGGGTCTCAGACATGAAGAACATGTCTATTCTACTTCTCGGCAGATATTGTTGGTGAGTCCCCCCCGTTGCGAACCAAGTATAGGACCGATCAACAGGGTGTAATGCGCGAAAGGCATCAGTGAAATCGTTCTTTTGCAGAAATTCAACCAGGCGGATGGCATCAGCAGAGAGGGGCGCTGGTCGGATGGAATCAAGGCCCGGGAGGATCGTTGTGTTCCAATCCCCTCCTAACACCAGATGTTGAACATCCGGTAGCACCCAGGGGAGGGAACGAAACAGATCAATCCTCCGGGGGCAGTGGGCGGGGGCGTATATATTAAAAACGGCCCACTGCTAGTCCTACCTCAAACCTGATCCAAGCCCAATGGCCGTTATGATCCCAATAATAGTTTGTAACTCGAAAGGGGAATGTTCTGGCCAACAAAATGGCCACCCCTCCCCTGGTGCCCTGAGAGGGGGCCCAAAATTGCTGGCCAGACCACCACCCCATATGTTCCGCTATGGCCCGGTCGTCCAACTTCGTTTCTTGCAGTAGAAGGATCTGAATCCCTCTATTCCTGACCAGGGTCTTAATGTAGGATCTTTTTACCGCCACTCGTCTAGACCCCAGTCCCCGAACGTTCCAAGTTGCTATTCTTATTTTATCCATCAAATTCTATGTTCATCGGTCCCACTATGTGCATTTCAGTTCCAGAAAGTGTTTGGAGAAAAGGCTTTTGTGCCAAGGCAAGTGGCCATCAACCTGATGAATCAACGCTGCAGTCCAGACATCGTGCACAACTGTCTCCACCAATGTCTGGCCTGCAGGGTTCTGTAGCAGTGTCAGCGGCAGCCATCTAATAGGAGTCAATGCCGGCTGCGCTCTTATTTCTGGGTTGACCACTGCATCGATCAGAGGGAAAAAAATTAGATCCTTCCTTCCCTGATTTGTAGTCGGAGTGAGACGCACCCACTCTACCTCAGGAAAAAAATGGATCTTGAAAGCTGGAGATAGCCACTTGGCGACCTCTCGCATCACCACTTCCGGCTTCGGATCCTGAAAGACTTGGAAATGCGGTATTCTGAGCTTGTCCCCTTCACCCATGACGGCTAGGAGGTTAAGCAAGCCATCTTCAGCTAAGAATATGAGAGGTACCACTATGCAGGGGTGGCCTTCGGCCATTGCTTTCAATATGTCCGTGGGAAAAACCGAGGCTCGTTGGTGAGATCGAGGATCAAGATCCTGAGGCTTATAGCCAACAGCAGCGAGATCGTCGTCTACCACATCAGCCCAGCTTTCTTTAACCCGTTTGTCTCGTTGCTGATCGACCGTACGTTTCCCGTCGGTCTTTGACCGGCCGTATGGCTGTAAACCCAATTTGGGCCCAGAGGCCAGAGCTTTCCTACTTTGCAGCGGGCGAGTGTCTTTGTGTATTGACATTTCAATCTCTGGACCCGGACGGGTGTCATTGTTACCGTCGTCGTTGCCGTCGTCGTCAGTAGCGTCCCCATAGATCTCCTCATCTTGCGGTTGATTCTGTTGTATTGGAATCACTGCAACTGTCCCGTCTGTTGGTGTGACATTAAGTCCATCCCCGTCACCTCCCCTGGTCCCCACCACCTCAGAAGGTCCATCAGCTGTTCCTTCCGTGGGGGGGGTTCCCTGAGGACGATCGCAGGGTGGTGGCAATCCGGTGCCTGATCCTGACGGTTGAGGTCTACTTTTTGCTTTCACTCTGCTGCGGGGCCTAAACAATTTTATTATTTTTTGAAACTTTTTTAATGCGTTTTGTATTCTGTGAAGTACACATCTGTAAATTTTCAGGGCATTTGGCTGTGCCAAAAAAATAAATAAATAAAAAAAAAAATCGCCAAAGATGGCAGTGTTGAAAACGTGCTCGCTCACTCACTAATTTTAATTCTCTTTTCATTTCTTCTTATTTTTATTATTAGTTTGATTTTCTTTATTTTATTTTTATTTCAAATTTGGTAAGGAATTTGGATGTAATGCTCAGGCAAATGTTTTATATTTTATTTTTCTTCACAACATATTGTTTTTTCAGATTTTTCTGATTTTGTTTTTGTTTTTTGGTCCGTGTTCAGCCCGAACGGCCAAACGCATCCCCAACCGGTCCTGTACATTCGGGCGTTCGGGATCGGGCGTACAGCCTGTCCCAAACGCCGGTTACCCTATATATATTTATATCTATATATTTGATTTCCCAACCGGCTTCAACTTATTATAGGAAGTGATATGAACATCTCCCCCTGGGAATTAAAAGACTAATAAAAAACTTTGAAAAAAATCAACAAAAATGTCAAAATTTCATTTAACACCACGCTGGCTTGCTTAGCCTTGCAGACTCTGCCACCTTTTTTTTTTTTTTTTGTGCAGACTCTGCCAACTTTCTCTTACGCCTGCAACCGTTTCCCAAACGGCAGAAACAAATTCAAAAGTCTGAAAATTTGGAAATTTTAAATTCCCACAATTTTCTGTAACATTTTAGTATTTTACCCAAGAAACCATGATTCCACAAATCTTAGCAATTTTCCCAAAGAAAAAGTGAGAAAAGGGGGAAAAAACAAAGTTTAAAAAACTTCAAAAAAAGACAGAATTTCTCTGCTTGTTCTGATCTATGGAGCACGGTGTGGGACAGTGTGGGACAGTGTGGGACAGTGTGGGACACCATGTGGGACACCGTGTGGCACTTGTGGGAGGCAGAAAATGGAACGTCAAAATGGGACGCAGAAAATGGGACATGTGGAACAAACAGGTGAGAAATATCATTAAAAAAAAAAAAAATAGACGAAAACGAACAGAATTTAAAGCAGATGAAATGTGAATTCTGCAAGAATCATTACCCCTCCCGCCCCCGCCTCCCCCCAAAAAAAAGAAAAAAAAAGAAAAAAAAGAAAAAAAAAAAGAAAAAAAAAAAGAAAAGAAAAGGATGAATGAGAATGAATCTTCCATTAGAACATGGAAACATACATACACCCCATCATACTTTTCATTTGTGCATGTAGCGAGTGGTGAAGCGAGCCCAGGAACCGACCGGGCAGATGCCAATCCCAACTGTCAAAGAACTCGAACAGTCGGCAGCTTTAGCTTTCAGGACTTTATATTCTTTACAAGAATATATTTACAAAAACGTGAGATAGTCAGAAAAACGTTAAAAAAACGCACATTTAATTTCAAACTTCAAAGAGGAATTTGACCACATTTGACTCATTTGACGACGAATTTGACTCATTTGGCAAAAATGCAAAGCAAAGCATCCGACCACAAATTTGACTCATTTGACGAAGAATTTGACTCATTTGACACAATGTCTGGTCAAATTTGACGCCTTTTGCGATAATTCAAAATTGTGGCCAAATTTGACTCATTTTGTGGAGAAACCTGACCCCATCTGACCCCATTTGACCCCATTTCATAACCAAAGTTGACTCATTTCCTGAAGAATTTGACCACAATTTCCTGAAGATAAGGACTCGTTTTGTTGTGGAAACTTTGGCCAAATTTGAAAAGTGACCTATTTCTTGAGGTGTTCGATCGAATCATTCGAATTCGAGTCATTTGTTCTTGAGGTGTTTGACCATATAGGGTCCTTCCAGCTCATATCCGAGTTTGCGGTAGTAATGGCGTGTGCCCACACCAGAGATCACCGCCAATTTCGTAGAGCGATGCTCCCTCCATGCGATTCTCTCTGCCTCCTCCATGAGCAGCGTTCCGTATCCCTGCAAAACAAAGACACTTCCCCCGTCAGATATCGGCCATCAGATGTCAGATGCTATTCCCACCGTCAGATGTCCGACGGTATTCCCACCGTCAGATATCAGATGCTATTCCCACCGTCAGATGTCAGATCACATTCCCACCGTCAAATGTCAAATGATATTCTCAGATGTCAGATGTCAGATGTCAGATGTCAGATGATATTACCACTGCCAGAAGATATCCGGTGATAATCCTGCCGTCAGATGTCAGATGATATTCCCAGGCTGGAAAATCCAGACAAGTCAGACATGGCCCTGGACGGCTAGAACTCAGTTAGGCATCTTTGGTTTTGTAAACCCAGAGGAGGGGTCATGGTTATTAATCTTGTCTGCGACTATGTATCGTTCCAATTTTAAACTTTAACGAATGTTGGGAAAGAACGAGGATTTCTATTTTAGGCATCTTTCTTCAGCCTGGGATCAGTATGGTTAATTGTGGCCATGCCAAATTGAGATGGAGCCCAACATCTGAATTTGTTTCCCGAACCTGTGTTTTGGGTTTGGGGCGGAAGGAGGGGGGGGGGGGGGGGGGGGGGGGGGGGGGGGGGTGGAGGGTGGAGGGTGGAGGGTGGAGGGTGGAGGTGGAGGGGAGTGACAGGATGAAGGGGGGGGGTTAAAATGGGGACGGAAATCGTCAGAAGAGAGATTATTATTATTATCATTATTATTAATATTTGTAATATTTTTATTTTTATTGTTCTACTCTGTTTATTATTCTAGGTTACCAGGGGTCTGGTCCCACCTACAGCGTTGAGTTTTTCTGAACGCTGAGGCGTTTCTATCACGTGTGGCATGGTGGGATGGAGCTCTGCCGTTGATGTATTGCGAATCTAACGGTACCAAAATACAGGAGAATAACCTATTAGATTTAGTCATTTTGTAGAATTTTTCTTTGACGTGAAATCCGTTTTGTAGTATGCGTTGGCCCTTTTGATTTGGGCGGGAAGCCATTTTCCATTGAGAAAACTACCCTACCGAGGGTAGGGTACATTTCTCAACTGCGGTGCCTTTCCTTTTTTTTGGTTTTTTAGACCTCATTGCATCCTGAAACGGAGGAACTCTGACAGCTGTGTTTGGCTGTCTGGCATCGAACTTGTTTCCTTCTTTGGGCAATGAATGCATTTGGCCATCCACGTCGTCCCTGTCCATTTTACAAATGGTGACCTCCTGTCCCCTCACCACGGGGAGTATCCCTTTTTCACGGAGACGTTCACTCCGACTGTTCCAGACATGTTTCATTTCTCCGAGTTACGTTATAAAAAATAAGGAGAAAAGCTGTTTCTCGCGTTTTTTTCAGTTTTTTTTTTTTTTTCTTGTTTTGAATTTATTAATGTCGAAATGGCGTCACACCGTTAAGTTTTCTAACCTCAACAACGGTAGGTGGGACCAGACCCCAGGGCACGGGGTGGACACGTGCAGGGGTTAACCCAGCACTAAAAAAATGAAAAAAAAAACAAGACGCCCTCCCCCCGCCCTCCCCCCGTCAGTTTGCCCCTCTGCGAAGAAGAAGGTGAAGTGAAAAAAAAAAAAAAAAACGAGAAATAACTTCAAATAAGAAAAATAACAAAGATCATTCTTGGCCGGACTGCCAACCCCCAGAATAGACGGGCTCATGTTGTTTGGAGGGGAAAAAAAAAAAAAAAGAAGAAGACATGTAAGAAAAAAAAAATACATTTTCACATGAACAATAGCAACTGCACCTACCTGATGTTGCAGCTTGTCCTCCTCACGAGCATGCACAGGGACCGCTGTTCCGTAAACATGAAGCTCGCGAACAATGGAGCATCGTCCAAAAAGTTCGGGGCAAGTGACATTGCGTGCACACTTCCTCAATCGAAGGAGGCCAACAAGGATATCCTGCTTGGTGTCTTCATATGACAAGAATGTCTCCCATCCTCCGTTAGCCGTGTAGTCCCTTCTGACAAGCTCTACTTCTTCAGGCTTAATCTTGAAATGAATGTCCTGGAGGAACAGAGGAAGGGGGCGTGAGTAATTGTCATACTTGCAGCATAGGGAGCAGCAGCAGCTGCCGCCACAGTGCGGTAGCACGAGCAATAGCAGCAGCAGCAGCAGTAGCAGTAGCAGTAGCAGTAGCAGTAGCAGTAGCAGTAGCAGCAGCAGCAGCAGTAGCAGTAGCTCGAAAAACTAGTTTCTCTTTTTTTACCACATTGCCTACTTTAATACCTTTAATTCTTTTTTGTACTTCATATCAAACTGAGGACGAAGCTATGACTTTGTTCATGGGATATCTACTCTTCTTTTTTTTTTGCTATCCTATTCTTGTATAGCAGTTGGAGAAGAAGGAATAGCAGCAAGAGTAGGAGTAAGAATGGTAATAATAGGAATAGGAATAGGAATAGTAGTAGGAGCAGGACTAAGAGTAGTAGTAGTAGTAGGAGTAAGTAGTAGTAGTAGTAGGGGTAAGAATAGTAGCAATAGCAGTAGGGGTAAGAATAGTAGTAGTGGCAGTAATGAGTAGCAGCAGCAGTAGGAGAAGTAGTAGTAGCAGGAGCAGATGCAGTAGCAGTGCGAGTAGTAGTAGTATAGTAGGGGTAAGAATAGTAGCAATAGCAGTAGGGGTAAGAATAGTAGTAGTGGAAGTAGGGGTAAGAATAGTAGTGGTAGCAGTAATGAGTAGCAGCAGCAGTAGGAGAAGTAGTAGTAGCAGGAGCAGATGCAGTAGCAGTGGGAGTAGTAGTAGTAGTAGCAGGAGCAGGACTGACTTAACGTGAGTAAAATACTACCTTCAATTCCTTGTATATTAAATAGAAGTGGTAGCAGCAGCAGCAGCAGTAGGAGAAGCAGTAGCAGCAGGAGTAGGAGTAGGGGTAAGAATAGTAGCAGAAGGGGTAAGAATAGTGGCAGTAGGGGTAAGAATAGTAGCAGTAGGGAGCAGAATAGTAGCAGTAGGGGGCAGAATAGCAGTAGCAGTAGCAGTAGCAGTAGCAGTAGCAGCAGCAGGAGGAGAAGAAGTAACAGTAGGGATTTTCAAAATATTAAAAATAGTACAATACTAGGGATAATTTGCAAAATAGTAAAATACGCCCATAAGTTGAAATATATGCCAAAATGCCCCTAAAAGATGTGGGAAGAGCGGAATACCCCTCTGAAAACAAAAAACATTTTTTGCCTTGGCCAAAATACCCCATCTTCGCAAATATACCCCTACCGGGTACCGTCCAACTTTGCAAAATGCCCCCGTACTTCCCAACTTCTCCTAGGAAGTCGTTATTGCAAAAGGCCAAGGCCCAAACGGGGAGGTCCAGATTGCAAAGCTGCACACCCGCCACCTGACAGGGGTCACAACACAAACATTTTGGCCCAAAAGGGAATTCCGCTTTACCCACATCTTCCAGGGGCATTTTGGCATATACATGTCAACTTACACGCGTATTTTGCAAATTATCCCAACATGCTACTCTGAATGTTTGAAAAAAAAAAAAAAAAAAAAAGGATACCTGGATGCCTGCCTCTCGAGTGCGAACATCACGGCATTTCAGTCCAAGGTCCACCATTCTCGCAAGAGAGAGCTCCCTTAGATTGCCTTTCTCAACTCCGGAGGTTACCAGTGGCATGGGGATATCCCTCTGTATCCGGTAGACTCGCGTCCATGGCGGAACCAGAGACAAAACGCGGGCCACGAGATCAACCAACTGATCTGGGGGATAGTTCCGATACCTGCAAAGTAACATAAACAGAATTGCCGCAGAAGCCGCAGAAGCCGCAGAACAAACACATTACAAATATTGTCACATATCTATGGAGTATGAACTAAAAGAGAGCACACTTTGCGAGAAAAAAAATAAAATGGCAAAAAAAGAAAAGGCAGACATGAAGAGCACACTGAAACCATTCATTGTTCTCGTTCTTTTTTTTCCTCCTCCTTTACCGTGCCTCTCGCGTACAAGGCTCGCCACGTTGACGAAGTTGAGTGTGAGCTGCCCGCGTCCCCCTGTGTGCTATAACGGCCCAGTTGTAAGCTGTGCGAAAGAGGTAAAGGGGGAGGGGATAACATCATAACATAGAAGAGAGAGATGGACAGAAGAGAAAAGTCACAAAAGTCACAAAACAAAGAACGACAAAGGGAAAGTAAGGGAAAGTACAGACTGCGGAACGAAGATGAAGGCAAAGGCGAGGATAAGAAAAGGCTCAAGGATCAGTCTGTCCTTGACGACAGAGAGGACATAACATACATTGTAAGGATGAGGTGGATGAACACATGGAAGACATTGCTGAGCAATCTCAGTACAGCAATTACCACAACAGCTGGCATTGAGCATGCCCACCATACACCCCCGGCAAATGGCATGTCGATTGCGGGCCAAAATGAAGGAAGAATGGTCACCACAAAAGACCATGCATTCAGTACAGCGCCCATGGCCGCAAAATGGACATACAGTGTCTGGATGCCGGGGGTGCCGGCAGTCGGAAACGGAGGGACAGTCCTCTACACACATGGATGTAAGAAATCAGCCGGGTGTAACAGTCCTCTACACACAGTGCCGGCAGTCGGAAACGGAGGGACAGTCCTCTACACACATGTCATTGTCGTGATTGCGACAGAGACAAAGGCGGCTACAGCCGGGTGTAACAGTGTTTGCAGCTGTGCAAAGGAGAAGGTCACAGCGCGTTGGTACATTTTTTTGTCCTGCTGCAGCACGGGGCCAGCGGAATGATCTTCGACATACAAGAGATTGCAGACAGTTTGGTGTGGCAAGAAAACAGCATCATTATGTAAGAAATCAGTAACATCAGTCTTTTTTTTTTTTTTTTTTTTTTNTTGGTGCAATGTTGCTTTCTGGACACTGAGATACTATCTGGCTTTCAATGTGATTGTGCATTGTGGATATTGTCATCTCGCTGTTGCTCATTTTCCTTGCATTGTGTTCGGGTGGTGTCGCGACATGTTTTAGGTGCCAAAATCATTTGCAGATATTTTTTTTTTTTTTTTTTTTTTACGTGGTCCGATGGACCACGGATTAGATATTAAACTGATCAGAACAGAATCAACAGATACTACACTTGATCTTAGCCAAAAGGCCGAGAAAGGTATTAAACTGATCAGTAACATCAGTCATGGCATGGACCATGATGCAATTGTCCCACAGCTCCCCATGGTCAGAGGCATGTGCGATGGCCATGCAATGGCCAGGTCCATGCACAATGCAGGCAGAGGTGTGGGATGGACGAGGATTAAACCACTGACCTGCTTCAGCATTGCGTAGTTCAAGTTTGACTCATTGCTACTTGCAGGACAGCAATGGTAAAGCCTCTTTCCCTGGCACAAGTGGTTTAACGGGGACCACCACTTTCAGCTCCTGAGTCCTGACTAATGGGTACAAAACTGAAATTAGGTAGGTGGGGAAGATCAGCATCAACCTACAGAGCAATTGCAAGGAACTCTGATGGTGTATAAATGGGCAGTGGAGAATGTGAAGACAGATATTAGTTGCAGTCAGACCACGGAGATTGGCGGGAATCTCGGGCTGGTGTGCCGGATGCTGCCCAACAATTTGCAGATCACCCAGATGGTGTTGCAAGGCCAAAATGTCTTGGGTTGTTTGCTGGTCAGCCATTTGCAGATCACCCATGTGATCTGCGTGTTGTGGCGCACAAATTTGTGGTTCATCCAAATGATATCGGTCAGTAAATTGTGGATCCCCCATGTGGTCTACGCCTTGTGGGCATAACTGATATCTGGGCAAATCATGTTCCAATCCCTCGGCATTTGGGGCTGCATCGTGAGTAGGGACTGCCATTGGAATCATGAGTATACCATGGGCAGGGGACCACATCCTGTTGTGCAGATGAGTTGTGAATATCTATAAACGCTAGAGGGCATAAAAGATGGTGTCGTGGCTGCCTGCAGGCAGCCGGACTGTTCGCAGGAGGCATAGGAGCGGATATTGTCGCTCGGAACAAAGGAACCGCAACAACCTGTGGAGCAGGCACAGAGAGAATTGGAGCAGACAAAGAAACAGGTTGCTGATCCCCGGACAAGTGACAATGCAGCTCATGCCGTCGATAATACACAATAAGAGTAGTGGTGCTGCAAACTAAAGATGAACATGTCTCTGGCAAGAAAGGTGCAACAATGGGAACAACGGGAACCGGAGAATCTGTTCGCGAGCGTGGAGGAGATGGGGGAGGTGAGGAGGAACGCAGCCGTCTACGGCCAACACAGAAAGAGATGAAAGGGGGGTGGATTGGGCAAGATTTATAAACAAAGGGCGTGAGTGTCGGAGAGGCTGTGATGTTCTTTGCAATGGAGCTGCAGCAAAGGAAGCTATAGCTGCAAAAGGTACAGTACAGGGAATTCCAGCTATGGAAACTGCTGTCGATGATGCAGGGACCGTCGCAACATGCGTCGGAAACCCTGAGGGAGACATGTCACGTGCATAGGATAGTGGTGTGGACGGAAGCGCGAGTAGTAGGTTCACCCCTTAGCAAGGGTCGGTGGGAAATGCCCATGAGAAAGCATGCCATGAGAAAATGGTCTTGCCACAGTTCGAAACTCCCGCCAATTGTTACAGATTTGTTCAAATATGGTCAATTGCCCACTGAACACACCAGCCGGTTGATGGGAAGGGATGTCGGAGGTCGCACTTGTATAACGAATGACAGGGAAGTCCCAAGCAACAACTTTACCAAAGACGCTCATGCGAAGCGAGCCATCAGAACGGACCCATAGATGGACACCTAAAATGGTACACAAGCCATTTGTCGCTGTAGTTTCCTACCACTCAAGCCCATAATGCTCTGGTGGAGGAGGTAAGCGCCCCCATGAAAGAACATCACCAATGAGACGATAAGTGAAGGAATATTGTTGAGCAGCTTGAAGATTATGCTAAGGAATGTCATCAACAAAGCGCGCTTTATCCCAATACGGCTTCAGATTAGAAATTTATGGGCCAGCACTCTTTTCCATTGGAAGAGCGATAATTTCTTTCCGAAGCGTGCCATCTCTAGTGTTGTGTTGCACGGCGTACACGTACGCAGGCCCCGCGCACACGCGTACACGTATGCACGTGTGCGCACGTACCGCGTACGTGTGCGCGCGTACATCAAAATGAGCCCTGCGTACGTGGTTGCAGGAGCCCTTTTCCGGGCCGTTTTTTGGCCCAGTCGGGGTTGGGGGTTACAATGGAGTGTGGGTGAGTGCAATACAAGCCGAGCTGCAAGGCGGGGCAGGGGGAAGACGGGCCCGATGTGAATTTTGAATTTGTGGCGGGACAGTCTACCCCCCCCCCCTGCCTTGCAGCCCAACCCTGCTCAGTCTCTCAGTCAAGCTGTGTCGTGGGCAATTTGTTTGTCTGTTTGTCTGTCACTCTGGTGGTCTCTGTGTGTGTGTGTGTCTGTCTGCAAGGGCCTGTCACGTGTACCTGTCTGTCTGTCTGTCACTCTGTCACCCTGTCCATGTGCCACGTCATTCTGTCACCCTGTCCATATGCGTGTCTGTCGGTCTGTCCATCTGTGTGTAGGCAGTTGTTTGTCGACCTGTTTGTCAGGTTTTAGGTAGTTGTTTGTCGGGCTGTGTGTGTAATACTGTGTATGTGTGTGTATGTGTGTGTAAAAGTCTGAAGACTCTGAAATTGTGAATACATGTGTGTTCCCCCCCCCGAGGGAAGGGCCTGGCACAACAGATATATATTTAAAAAAAAAAAAAAAAACAGGTACGCGTACGCGGGTTTCTGGTCACGTACAGCGTGCAACACAGCTCTAGTGTACAAAAAAATGTTTTGTACAACAAAAGTGAAGATGTTGGAGAATCTAAGAAATAGAAAGGGTGTCCGGGCCTCAATCAGTTGTACATTAGCCACAACGAGGCTCTCGAATAACGATGTTCAGGGCATTGCAGCGTGAATGCGTGCGAGCACTCCGAAGGGCATAAACATGCGCTTCATCAACAACTTTTGCTACATTGTGAGGAAGGTTGGTGTACATTGTGGTAAGATCGATAGTGCGAGGAGAGAGGCCACAAAGAGACGATGCACTGTTTTTCAAGCCAGTCGCCCCTTCATCGACACTCTGCAGGATCCAGCACCATCTGCCTTGTTTCTTTGCCTTGCTGCTTCTTGGCTTGTTGTGTGTGGTGTGTGTTGAGTTGGACACTACAGCCTTGCAGAGGTGGGGTGGATATCACTACCGACCGGTATGGTTCCACTCTTGAACACCATGTCCCGGTTGTAGTGGTTAAGATAGCCGGCTCTTGAGGCTGAGGTCGTCGGTTTGAATCCGCACTTGCACGGTGGAGGACGTCGGGCTCATGCTGGGATTAGTAGTGCCATCCTGTAACCTCAGCTGTTGGGGAGCTAGATGTGCGGATTCACTTAGCTGCTGTTGTTGTCCTTTCCGTTGCTGCCCAGAGTTGTTTGTCTGCCCACCCACCTCCACCGTGCCCTCCAGCCTACGTTCCTTGCTGCTGCTTGACCGCTCAATCCTGCTCCTTGGCTTGCTCCCTTTTCCTTTGATGCCTACTTCTGTTCGTCTGCGCACCTACCTGCCTCCCCCATGCCCTCCACCTTATGCTCTTCCCTGTTGCTTGTCATCCAATCCCGTCCTTGTTGCTTCTTGACGCTTGCCTTGTCACTTCTTTTTGCCTTGCTGTTTTGACCGTGCTGTCGTTTGGCTTGGTCTTTGCCTTATGGCTCTGTTTGCTCCATGACCTTTCAATTTTCAAAGCTGGACATTATGTGCATTCTTTTTATGGGCATGCCTGGCTGCAGGCTCCTTTTCATGTGTTGTTTATAAGCACACCTGTTGACGCAACATGTCGCGGCACGGTCGCGGAAACCACGTACTGCATAAACACACATACTTGCACACACATGCAAACAAAGAAAAAGGATTGGATTGACCATGCCGCTGATGATGCCGGCTGATTATGATCGGAAGAGGAAAGCGTTTGAAAAAACTTGCAAGTATGAGAGGAGGGAAAAGCGGCAAAAAAAAAAAAGCATCAGGAAAACTCACTTGCCAGTCTTCCACAACTCATACAATCCAGTTCCACGAATGACAAGCGTCGGATATATTTTGAGCCCATCTGCTCGGAATGCAGGGCTTTCGAAAAACTCCCGAAAGCTCTCAATGTCTCTCTCCATACCAACATTTGGCAAATCCGGCATCATATGCGCAACAACCTGCAATGTCCCAATCCAAGGACAAAACAGCCGCCAACACACACACACACACACACACACACACACACACACACAACTTACACCTCCCATCCCCCACCCCCCTTCCCTCAAAACACCTTCCCCTCCCCCTCCCCCCTCCACACAGACACGCACACAAAAAAAAAATAATACAAAAAAAAATTGCTGGGTCAGCAATCCCCTAAAAGCACACTCAGTTAGTCAAATGCAGGCAGTAACTTGACACACAATTCAACTGCTGGCAGTGAAGTCCATAAGGCCCGAGGCCCTGAATGGCCTCCCTGCTCTTCCCCATTATAGCCTTCCCCTTTTAAATTTTGCTTTCCCCCCAGTGTAGCCTCCCCCCTTCACCCCCATATATAGCCTCCCACTGGATTTATGCATGACTAACTACAGCACTTGAATGGCTAAAGATTGGGGAAGGGCATGGTGGGGGGAGGGAGAAGGGGGACGGAGGAAGGGGGAAGGAGGAAGGGGGAGCGAGGAACTTGAAAGGATTTCACCGCTGTCAGACTAGTCCCAGTCCCAAGTCCCAGTTCCAGCCCCAGTCTTAGACCCATATTCTCATGCCCCACGTAGGTTAGCGTCAGTAGGCCAACATAGGAAGATTCCGGTAGGTACCGGAGACTTACGGAAAGTCCGTAGAAGTCGGTGGGCCCTTTTGGCGGTCAGTCCAGTCAGCAACAAATTTCCAGGAAAGTCCACAAGCTTCCGGAAGCGACAAACAAAGAAAACGGGTACTGGCCCATAACTCCTAGAGGAACTCCGGAAGGCAAATTGTTGGGCACAAACGTGCAGATGTTGAAGTCGTCGACGCATATTCATTTGTGTGACCACGCGGAAGCGCTGCTGTGCTATTTTGGGATTCGATCTTCTCCACTGCAGAGAGGAAGTCGTTGACAGCGCTGGGCGCCAAGTAGACATAGCTAGGTTGAGGGTGCGAGGGAGGGAGAAACAGTGCCCGGTATTCAGAGATGCATGAGGCCTCAGGGAGACAGAAGAGCGAGGACAAAGGGAGAGAGACCATACCTGAGAGAGCTTGCCTGGCAGCCATCGCTGCCCATCTTGTGCAGAGACAATATTGCAAAATTGAGTTGATTGGCCGAGGCTATCTTTGCGAAATTGAGTTCCATCAACTTCCATCTCACATGTGCTGTGGGGTGAGCATGGTGCGATAGCGTCGTGCATGGTTGATCTCAAAGACTCTAACCATACTGTTTGCTTTGTCATTTTTTTAATTAAGACTCAGGAGACACTGTACTGTCAGTCTATAAAGACAGGCTAGTGTCGTCACCCAAATAGAACGCCCGGTCATTATAGCTGCATTTGGCCCAACTTTCAGTCCAGATGCAGCAATACTGACCGGGCGTTCTATTCGGGTGAAGACGGTAGCACGACCAGGCTCAGGAGAACTGCAGCTCAAATTCAAAGTTTGAAGTCCAGAGAAACAACTACTCTCAAATATCAAAAGAGAGAAACACTGATCGGTCCAACTTAAAAATATCAAAAGAGCGAAACACCGATCAGTCCATTTTGTCATTTTGAAAAAGCTCAACCTTTGTAAAGTCCATAACCTTGCACTTGAGAGTAGGTTTAAGCCCGGTCTCGAAGTTTCTGAAGCTAAAAACTTTAAAAAGCTTAAAAGATAAACCTTAAAAGTTAAGCCTGAAATAGAATAGAACACACACACACACACAGAAAAAAGATGTTACCCCTATACAATCATGGACATGATAAGGTTAGGAGAACTTAGGACTGTCAGAGCCCCCTTTGGGGCTACCACCCTTTTCTAAACCACCAGTACATCTGGCGAGTAGTCACAAATGAGCCTCTCCAAAAAAAATTCGGGTACTCGGGACAGGACCCGCCTGGGGGGGGGGGGGAAGGGGCGGATTTTTCTTTTTTTTTCTGTTCACTGTTGCACCTGGTCCCACCCCAAGTCACAGTACAATTCTTTTTTCCCACCCGGCCTTCGGAGGCTCTGTCCCAAGCCTCCGGAATTTTAGGAGGGGCTCAATCGCAATTCTCAACTTGGCTGGGGCCATTTACTGGTGGTTTACGACGAAACAAACTCGAATAGAACACAGACAAGGGTTGCATACACACACCTTGAAGCCGGCGTCCTTGGAAAGGCAGAAACAGTCTGCAACAGCTGCGACCGTGTGTCCGCGGTTAGTATCACGTGCAACATCCTCGTACGTGCTCTGAACGCCAATCTCCAATCGCGTGCACCCATAGGACAGCATTTGTCGTAAATGAGGTCCAAGGCAATAATCTGGCCTCCTGCCACCCAGTAAAAGACAAAAAGTTATGAAAATGAGATCCATAGTAATGGGACTGAGTGTCGTCAGGAGGGGCAGAGATGGGACTGATGCCTGGACTGAGATGGGGACTGAGACTACGGTCTTCACCCAGACACAATGCACCCTGATCATGAATGTATACAAGCTATCTTTCCAGCCCGACACAGTCATAATGACGGTGCATTGTCTTGGGGGGGAAACAGTGGGACTGAGAGTGAGACTGAGAGTGGGACTGAAAGTGAGACTGAGAGTGGGACTGAGAGTGGGACTGAGAGTGGGACTGAGAGTGGCAAGCAACCTACCCGGAATGACAAAATGCCAGACACATGTTCAAAAAGAGAACAATATGAAAGAAACAGCACACTCCTAAATACAGGTGCCAACTTATAAATCAGGACTCGTTCCAATATAAAACAACAAGGGCATCACTATGATATGCCAGTATATGGGGGGGGGGAGAGAGAGAGAGAGAGAGAGAGAGAGAGAGAGAGAGAGAGAGAGAGAGAGAGAGAGAGAGAGAGAGAGAGAGAGAGAGA